TCAACATCATTAAAGTCAACTTTGGATTATAGTCGATCTATCTTGCAAATTCCAATTTGCACCACCAACACTAAACTATACTAAATAGTCAACTTTGTATAATCAATCATTTCTTTATTCCCAAAAAATTGAATATAACAAAGACTGATTATACTTTCTTATTTTGCTGTAACCCATAATTTTGTTATTCAGTCTATAACAGGTCTGGTCATTATAAAGTATTTGTGGCCTATTTTTACTCTAAAATAAAAATATGACATATAAATATATATATAATAATCTAGTGTGGAGGCATTATTAGTAATCAAACTTTGTAATAATTACAACAGTGTGTATATTGACAACCTCTACTCATATGTAGTTTTGTGAAAGATAAAGTTTATATATTGTGTTTGTTTATAAATACCAATGTACAGTAACTACATATTTGCAACACTTTGTGTGCACTGGTTGTTATATAAATATATATATATATATATATATATAGTATAATAAAATTGAATTATGGATAACTTAAATAAATTAATTTCATACCTTTGCCTTAATATTTGAAGTAAAATTGGAACAAAAATTTATTAATTTCATTATTATAAAATTTAAAAACAATTATGTACAAATCTATTATTATAATTTAAAAATCAATAGTTTTATCATAAAAATTTCTTCTTTTATCGTCGCTGTTATATTTTAACAACACCACCCAACTTTATCAATTACAAGAAGTACATTGTATGGTTTTAATTAATATTGAAGCAATATATGATAGTCTTGTTGTAGGTAGCTGTAATCTCAAAGTTAATAAATGAATAAAATTTTGTTTGAATAACTGATTTGTCCAAAAAACTGACATGTACTAAATTGAACCATTGATTATGTGGTGATCATGGCCATTGATGGAGCCAAATATATATAAATATATATATATATATATATAATTTAATATTTATTAATTTTTTAATTAACTATAACAAAGAATATTTGATGTTTGCACCTTCATCTTTTCTATCTATATGTATATACATACACAATTGTTGTTATTATTATTGCTTATGGTCTAAAGTTGTTGAGAATAATTTAATTTAATTTATTATTTACTAAGTTCTTATAATAATGAGAGGTATTTTTTTTAATAATAATAACATTTTTTTCTATCAAGTAAAGATAAACTATGAAGTTTAATTGTATCAAATTATTAGAGTATATTTTTTAATAAAAATAAAAATTATTTTAGATAAAACAAATACAATGAATAACCTTCGAAATTTAAATAGTTGAATGAAGGTCGAATTAGATAAGACATTGAACTACAGTCATTATCACATTAAACCAATTAATATATATATATATATATATATATATATATTTACAGAGTTCAAAATACCAAAATTTGCAAACATGCAAGATTCAACTCTTGTGCTCACCATGTATGCTATGGTGAGTACAATGGTTGAGCTTGTACATGTGACTTTGCTCAGTAAATACATGTCAAAAGTTGGTCCAAAAAATTGGGCAAAAATTAAAAGAATTATGTGATACTTAAAACTACATACAGATTTTGTGGACTCACTATGAATCCTAGGTTTTTTTTACTAGAACTAATGACAGTAGAATAATTACAATTCATTTATAAAATGGATAAAGTCAACTATAAGAAAACATTTATTCAATAATTTCTGGAAATGAATGGTTACAGCAATGAAGTGTAAATTGAGATAATTGATAAATTTTGTAGATGGGATTTAATTGGTTAAGACATCATTACTACAACTTTTGATATTTTTTCTAAGAGAAAAGCTTTTAGTTTTTTTGTAGAATCTTTGATGTAATACTCTGAGTAGAGGCTAAAAATATGAGTATTTATAGCCAATTTTATTTATAGTCATTGCAAAGAAGATTACTTGCTAGATATTCTATGTTTTTTATGACAATAATGTTTATCTTTAAATTAAATAGTGGGTAAAAAATATATAAAAGCGTGTAATTATATGTAGATTCGAAATATTCAGAAACAGGAATTTAAATGAATGAATCATTTGTAATTTTAAGTGACTAGAAATTAAAATTTTACTTTATAATGTTTAAAAAGTGTGAGTTTTTATATGATTGGTAGTACATAAAATTCAATTGGAATATTTGTGGTTGGTTGTTAGATGTATAAAATATTAAAATAAAATAAAATAAAAAATAAATTGAATAAGACTCATATATTTATCTTGGAATAGATGATGATCTTTTGTAGATAATATAAAATAATCAATTAAAAAATATCTTAAAATTAAACTTATGCTAATGGATTTATTTTAAAATTTTAAAATTATAATTTAAATAATTGTAAATAATTAATATGTATATGCATAGAAAGGTTCTCAATGAAGAGTAAAACTAAAGGAGCTATAAAATAAATTTTCTTGTATTTATTTAGTAATGAAGGGTATTGACCACAAAACCAATTAATAGTCCTGTTTGGTTGTAGCTAGAATTTATAAGTGCTAAGACTTTGACAAAGTCAACCTAAGACCAAGCCAAGCAGCATCATATGTATTTCTTAGCTTTAAGAGCTTCATAAATAAGATAAAATTTATTTTATATATGTTTATTGTGTGCATATTTTTTTATGATTCTTATGTTTTTATTTTATAAAATAAAAATTAGCATTTGCCAGTATTGTTGGCATTATTTTAAAATATTGTAATAATGTACATATTAAAAATATTTCAACCATCCTTTTATTATTTTGTTGTTTCAGCATTCTATTGGTAACTGTATATATGTAGATTTTTGTATTTAAAATGTTAAATAGAATATAATATTTTTTCTTTGAAAAGTTTTATCTATGTTATTTTATGTGTATATGAAGATAAAAATAACTAAAAAGAAAAGAAAAATAACAATAATCAATCCATGTTGAAAAAAAAATTAATTAATACATTCCACCTATATATATATATATATATATATATATATTCATGCAAGTGGGCGGTTCAATACTCCAGCTTTAAATTTTGCAATGCAAATCATTTGTATAGTCAAAAAGTTAGAATTCAAAAATAATACCAAATGTTCTCAGTTTTTATTCAAATTTCAAATTTTCAATTTATGTATTTACTTCCTTTTTATTTGTAAACATGGATATTATTTGAATGATCAACTTTTATTCTTGAACAAGATGTATTTGTATCACATAAAATCAAATAAATCTCATATTCCAATATCTTTCAAAAAACAAACTATCTTGCACAATATTCACAAAAAAGCATTTTGTACAATTCTCAGTTTTTTTTTTTTTTTTTTTTTTTTTTGAAATTATTGTGCAAAAAAATAATAATATCAGTAAGAGAATCATTTGCATTGTTGAATGCAAACCAACATGTGGTTTTTCTTCCATCAATTTTGCTGAGTACTAAAACCAAGACACTGTAGAATCCCTTGGTCCCTTTTTTTTTTTTTTTTTTAATAAAATAAAAAGAAAAAACCCTTCTCCAGAAGTTTTGAAAATCATTCCATGTAAAATATTTTCTTCATAAAATGAAAGCTGAATCACTATTTAAAAATATTCAAGTGGATGCATATGTATGTTCATGTATACAAATCTTTAATTTTAGACAAGTTCCCCTTTGAATAGGTCAATAAGAATAACGACAACAATTGATTATTTTTTTGGAAAACTGACCATCAAACTCAAATTTTATAATACAACTTTGACTTTAGTAGTAATTTCACAACCAACATCCAAAACTTCAGGCGAAATCTAGATATATTTTGCAATGTTGTCATGTAGGTACTTGAACTCAAATTAAACTCGTTTAAAGTATATGTATGTTATTTTTAACATTTGTATTATAATTTCGAGATTAAACCAGAATAATAAGATTTATGGGTTTTTGTAATTATTGAATACAACGATTGACTTTTCAAAGTTCATCGCTAACAACTTAAGACTTAGCAATCAAAATCTATGAATTCTAGTTTATTTTATTTTATTTTTACCATAAATTAATCAAACAGTTATAAAAAGTGTATATACAAACATATATAAAAAAAATATGCCTTCTGAGTATAAATAAGAAAAATTTGTAGGCAACATAAATGATTGTTCCAAATCATTGTTTTAGCATAGATGGTAATCCCTCCTTAATCAACAAAAGCAATGGGCAAATAACGAGCGGTGTGAACACACAAACCGGTTCACCCGCCACAATCCAATATGCGGGAGACGATACCCGTATCCGAGCAATATACAGTTACCCTTAATTATACCCGTACCCTGACGCGGAGGACGGATACCGTAGCACAGAAGAAGGGCAGCAGGACAGCAGGGGCAGCAGGAGCAGCAGGGAAAGTTTTGGGCTGGCGGAGGGGCGGGCAGATCGAGCCGGGCAGCCACCATTCTGGTAGGAACCCTACACGTCTTCTGGAACTTGTGGAGCTTCGTTTCAGGATGCTGCTGCTGCTGCTTCTTCAACCCTCGTTCCTCGCCATTTCTCTCTATCTTTCTTCCCCTCGCCCTGCGTGCTGGCCCGCATTCTGCTGCTGTGGTGCTGCTGTGGTGCTGCTGTGGTGCTGCTGTGGTGCTGCTGTGGTATCGCCCTCTCGGACGCAAGCATTCCTGTGCTCATGTGCGTTTTCTGAGCCGCTCGGTGAGCGAATCGGTGTGGAGTCGTCGACGTGCCGCGAGTTGGGTATCTAAGGGTGAATCTCACGCTGTTGGGGTTCTGGTGTGGTGGAGATTCGGAGCCTCCGGTTTTGGTTTGGGAGATTTGTGTTTTCGGTTTTTGTGAGTTGATTTCGTGTATTTTGTTTCCAGGACGGCTCCTGAGAACGCTTGTTGTTCTATTTGGGAGGTTATATGAGGGTTTCGGGTACGATCTTTTCCGTGGATAAATTTGAATTTGTTTGATTGCGTCAGTGGAGATTGGCTTGTGAGAGGGGGAGGTTAGTGGTTGCCCAGGGAGGGTGTGAGGAAGAAGAAGTGAACAGCAAGGTGGCGGCATACTCTTTTATGTCTGAAACCGGCTGCTTCTACCTGGGGTCGGTTGGGCTCTTGGGAGAATATTGTCCCACTACGAGGAAGAGACACAAACAATTCGTGTGTCCATCCAGTCCTCCTATTCGGTTGCATGTGGCTCATCTGATTATCGCGTCACGCTTTCGTGAGTCAATATCTTCATCGCCTGCTTAACGCTTCAGTCATGGCGCTTCAGAACATCGGCGCTGGCAATCGCGATGACGCCTTTTACAGGTACAAGATGCCCAAGCTCATCACCAAGATTGAGGGGCGTGGAAACGGAATCAAGACCAACGTCGTCAACATGGTGGATGTGGCAAAGGCACTTGCAAGGAATCCTGCGTACACCACCAAGTACTTTGGGTGTGAGCTCGGGGCTCAATCGAAGTATGACGAGAAGACTGGCACCAGTATCGTGAATGGTGCTCACGATACCTCAAAACTTGCGTCCCTGCTGGAGAATTTTATCAAAAAGTACGTGCAATGTTATGGATGCAGTAACCCCGAGACTGAGGTGGTCATTACCAAGACCCAGCTCATCACGTTGAAGTGCGCTGCCTGTGGCTACGTGTCTGATGTTGACATGCGTGATAAGTTGACCACGTTTATTTTAAAGAACCCTCCTGAACAGAAGAAGGGCGGAAAGAAGGACCGTGCACTGCGGCGTGCGGAGAAGGAGCGTCTCAAGGAGGGAGAGGCTGCGGACGAGCTGATGAAAAAGAACAAGCGAGAGGCTCTGAAGAAAAGTAAATCAGGATCTGATGCTAAAGTTGTTAAGAAGAAAACGGGGTCTGACGATGAAGAACATTCTCCATCTGCAAGCCAAGCCGAAGAGGATGAAGCTGTGGTGGATGAAGAGGAGGACGATGTGCAGTGGCAGACTGATACTTCAGCCGAGGCTGCGAAGAAGAGGATTATTGAGCAGTTGACTGCGGCAACAAGTGAGATGGTTATGGTTGGGAATGGTGATGATTTGAAGGAGTCGTCTCCTAAAGCTAAGACTTCTGCCAAGCCCAAGACGCTGAAAAAGTCGTCGTCTAAGAAGTCTGAGGCTGACAATGAGGTGAACGAGACGACAGAAGTAGAGTCTCCGAAGGGAGAGGAGATCAGTCCTCGAGATAAGTTTTTAAGTGATTTCAAGGAATGTTTGATGAAGTCGATGACTCCAGCGCAGATGGCGGCTATTTTGAACAATGCTGAGCCGCAAAGTGAAGCTATGGATGCATTCTTTGTTGCGCTGTTTGAAGGTTGCGGCAAGGGGCTTCACAAAGAGATTAGCAAGAAGAAAGCTTATTTGGATGCCGTTGTGCAAGATGAAACCTCTCAGAAGCATCTTTTGGCTGCGATTGAAACCTTCTGCGCTGCTCTCCCTCTGAACGCGAGCAAGGAGATAGCGCTTTTGCTCAAGGTCTTGTATGATGCAGAGATTCTTGAAGAGGAGCAGATTCTGCTTTGGTACGATGCGGTGCCATCCGGGAAAAGTTCAGCAAATGGCTCTGGTGCAGGATCGAAGGCTGCTTGCGTGAGGAAGTCCGCACTTCCATTTATCGACTGGCTTCGTAGCGCCGAGGCTGAATCGGAGGAAGACGAAGATTGATATCCTGGTAGCTTCCAGTATGTAACGACATCGATAAGTATCTTCTTTCGGGTAGCATTTCTAGACAGGAGGTTGATAAAGCGGCTCCTTGAAAGCCAATGCGTGTGTGGCATTCTCACGATGCATTTCATATGTGCCTGAATGCAGCACTTTCCATGGAGCGTTTTTCTGGCTTCATTGTATTCCTCAATTGTGTGTGTGTGTGGATCTTTCTTTTGATTTCTACTTTTAAAGAATATTTTATCGTCTAACCTGACCGGAAGTTGCTTTCCCCATTTGCTTACAGGGGTTGATGGAACATACAGACAGCCATGTATGGGTGAGATGGCTGCTCAATATTGGCCCAGCCATTTAGTGGCTCATCTACGTTTACTCTAAATTTGCGAATGTGTCCCGTGTGGTCTTATTTTGTGAAGTTTAAGTGCTTCGTAAACTCCAAATCTTTGAAATATATATATATATATATATATATATATATATATATGTCTATAGATTATAAGAGGCACCCAATGAATATGAAAGTTTGTTTCTTTTATTAATCTCAAATAACTAGATCCTCATTTATCTGAGAACGAATGATGATGTAGGAATAATACACCGGTATGTCTACTGCTGGACAACAACAAATGCGAAACAGTCGAAAGGAAACCTAAACCTCGTAGAACTACCTATCCTTGCATTTATATTCCCTTGGACCAATCGATGAAATAATTATTAATCTAAATCCGACAGTAATGCACATGTACATGAAATGAGAAATATTATATCGTAGATATATAGAATTAAGGACCGCGAACCATTAGCAAGTGTGCCACAACATTTAACAACCACAATTAGCCTGGTTGAAGATAAGGATTAAAGTAAAGATTACTTGCGTACTTATGAAAATAAATAAATAAACAAGTAATATATTGTTTAATTGTGCTTATAATGATATTTGATTCTCTGAAATACTACATTAGTATTAATAATTTGATAATTTGATATAGTTTCAGAGAATACACTAAATAGTAGTTGTTTAACAGATGATATAGAATCTTATCAATCATGTATGTATAATTTAGTTTCATTTGAATGTGTACGAACTTGTCATTCGGTGAAATAGTGTGTGGCATTCGATTTATTTCATTTATTCATTAAAGCCACAGTGATAGAATTTTACAAACTTAGAAATATTGTATTATATATAGTTTAAGTACTATATCTAAAATCTAGCACACATGGTCAATAATGACCTTAAACTATTAAAGATGGCAAGTTGGTGATTCAAATCCTTGTTGTGAAATTCCTAACCTTGACAAAAGGATGTTATCATTAGAACCATGATTGTTACAAAAAAAATATTATATATATATATATATATATATATATTGGCCATGTAATTGGTTGTTGGTAATTGTTAGTTGTTTAATTGTTATCTATCAAATATTTTGTATCTAAAATTTAAAAATGAGTTGATTTATTATTAAAAATTATATTTTAAAATCTATGTATACAAGTAATTTTACATAAGTACTTTTTATGAATTCCTTTCTACGTCAACATTTCATGTATATGAATATGTAAATATACAAATATATATATACATGATTTACTCATTAATATGTTAACTTTTACCATTACTTTTTTTTTATTATATAAAATCATTTCATCTAAAATACATGTAAAATATAGGGGAATGTTGAATAGACCTATATTTTTACTGAATCAACCTATCTATAATGAAGAATGTGCTAATCATGATGAATGTGATTAGGTTTGATTTTTTAAAAACCAATAGTAAAAAAATGAATTTAGAAGTTTATTTATTTTTTATTTATTTTTATTTTTACACAATTGACCAACCCATCACAACTGACCCACCCACCATTATTATAATCTTTACCTAATATGATGAAAATTTGAGAATTAAACAATTACTAAATTATAGAAATTAAAAATTAAAAATGGATTTGATTATAAATTATTATTGAAGGTTGGAATATGATGGATGAGACTTTTGAAGTATTCTTAAAACTATTATTTTGTAAAATATTCTTTAATCAACGAAAATGCACTATTACAAATAGATAATTTATCTTATATTAATAAAGTTATACTTTTGCAATTGTTTTAACAGCATATCTAAGACCATATAGGTTGTATTTGCATTCACTTTTGCAATCTACTTACGCTTATTCTTATCATGTCTTAATAATGAACAAAATTTATCAAAAATATTTTAAATATGAAAGATCTTTATAATTTTAGAAATCAATCAAAACTTAATATTTATATGTTTTCATTAACTTATTTTGTAACATTTTTGTTTTTTAAAAAATACCATATATTAACATAAAATAAAAACAAAGTTAAGAAAGATCCAAATTATTTTCAACAAAAAGCTCAATAATGTAGAAACATATGGCATGAATTTAATAATATATCTAATAAAACTGAAATATGTAATAAATCTAAAAAATATGATGTTTTTATTGGATTTTAATAATACTTAAATAAATTCATATTGGTTTTTTAAATGTTTTAAGTAATAAAATAAGATCCCACAAAGTATTTTATAGAATGTATTAGAAATTTATAAGATTTATTAAGATAGTTGGAAAATTTTAAAGTATTAAATATAATAAAGTTTTAGAAATAAGTCTAGAACACATCATAAGTATTTTGAGCTGAAGGTAGATCTATATTAAATTAAACAAACCATATTGATTTAAAATATAATAATAGAAGTAATGAAACAATAGAAAAATAACTCCACAATGTTAGAACTTTTTTATATTTGATTTGGTTTTTTAAAAATAAATATGAAAAATCAAATTATCTATATCTTAAGCACAAAAATTTATAAGATGGTGTTTTTTTAGCTAAAGCAAGTAAATTGAAGTTAATATCTATTTTTGCATACTTAAAAATAAATTATCAAAGAAAAATAAAATTATACAATAATCACATATTTTTTTGGACAATTTCAGATAAAATTTAAATGTCTAAGTAACAAAAATAATTCATATAGAAGAACATTGGATTTATTGATTATTACTTGAATGTAGACATAAATAAAAATTAATTCATTGCATAGATTGTGTACCTATTGAAGGCATTTTTTTGTATTGTTTACAATAATAAGTAGAATTTCAAAATATTCAGAGTATATACTAAAGTTTATTTAAAGTACCATGCAATATTACATATAAAAAAGCCAATATATTTTTTCTTGTTGAAGAATTTAAAATACTATTTTTACGTAAGTTTTAAATTTAAATTTAAATATTTTCTAAGATAGTATGATTTATATGTTTTAATTAGCTTTTAAAAATAAAATTCATACTTCTAAAATTTTGCATAGAAATTAATATTATATTTTTTTAATAAAAAAATCTATTGTCATATAAAATATTATTTTATCGATTTTGATTTATATATTTTATAGAAAAAATATTTAATCATTATATATATATATATATATATATATATATATATATATATATATGGGTCAAAGATTAGATTAGAATTTTTTTTAAGAAATTTTACAGAATTATGTGATTTTTTTTTATGATTTTTTTGAACAAATATTTATATACATTCTTCTATATTAAGATAAATATGTGATTATCTACAAGAGAAGCATTCTTTGTGATATTGAGTTGCAATACATCTTGCAACTCTTTTGTCAAGGATATACTATACAAGAGACCAAATAAGAAGTTGAATTGAAGACTTTTAACAAAAAAGCTAACAAGAACTTGATTAAACTAGATGAATACAAGATCAACACCAAGAAAGGTGAGCTTGAGCTCTAAGAGATGTATTGTAAAGATTAAAGATCCCCTCAACTTTAATTCCAATACTAGGTATTAAGAAGCTTCTCGAGAAGTTGCTATGTTACTTGAAGATGGAGCAACCATAAGAGGCTTCTTAGACAACTTTCCTAATCTTCCTATAATTTTTTAGAATTTTCTAAAATAATTTAAAAACCACTTAGAATTACTTAAAATATTTTAAGAATCTTTTAAAATCTTATAGAATCTTTTAAAAATATAATATAATATTTTAAGAATATTTCTAAAATTTTCTTATTGGATATCCATAAAATCACTTCTCTTTCTAACTCCAAGTTTTTTAAGGAGTATTAGTTTCATATTTGCTTTCTTTATTATATACAACATCTTATCAATAACTTCATAGAGAAGTTATCCTAAAATAGATTTAGATTTTTGAAGATAGCATTGATAAAAATCTTATATCTTTTGCAGTGCATTAACTAGATTTTTTGCTAATTTTCACATATGCTCATTGATATCATAGCCATGCCAATGAATAAAATACTCCAACTTATCTCTTCTTTGTAAAAAATCAAGGATTTTTTTCATCTCATATTCTATATAATTATCTATTTCAATGTAAGGCGGTGGTAATTATATTCTTTTTGAAGTAATTGATTTTGAATAAGCCTTTAAGAAAGAAATATGAAAGATTGGATGTATCTTCATAGATGTGGGTAATTCCTACCAATAAGCCATTGGATTGATTTGCTTTTGAATGCAAAATGGTCCCAATCTTTGGTAGTCTAATTTATTGCAAAGTCAATTGATTTCAATATTTTGTCAATGAAACTGTACTTTATTTTTAACTTAAAAAGAGGATTTTTTTTTTTTTTTTTTTTTTTTTTTTTTTTGAATTTATCTAAAGATGCTTGTAAGAATCTTGAGTTGTTTTTAAATGGAACTTCAAAGTTTTTGAGAACTATAACAATTGTTTTGCAAGATCTTTAATTACTAGATTTTTATCTTTTGATGTACATAACAAATCAAGCTTAAGATGATAATTATAATTAAAGTAAAATGATATTTTTTGAATTAAATTAAAAAGAATATTATTACAAATAAACTCTACTAAAAATAAATACGAGGTCCTCTTGCTTATGATTGATGGTACATGCAAATATTGCTCCAAAACTTGATTGACTTGTTTTGTTTGACCATTTGTTTGAAGGTGGAAGGTAGAGGAAAGTTTGATATCTATCTTCAATATCTCAAAAAAATATTTCCAAAACTTTGATTTAAATTGAGATCCTTGATTAGAAATGGTGTTATTAGGTATGCAATAATATTAATATATATTATAAAAAGAGAGCATTATTGTTTCTTTTCTAAAATTTATCTTTTTACATGAGACAAAATATGACATCTT